AGCAGGAATAGTAAGGCCAGACAGCTGAACTACTGTAACTTTAAGCAAACTACTATAATTTGAGGACAGAGCTTGATCACTTCATAAATATGATTATGTGAGCTGGTTATGGTTACCCATGATAGTAAGGGACCAAACCCAGTCACTTAGGAGATCCCTGCTGGGCCTATGAATAATATGCTCTTTGTTATAGCCGTTATGAACAATTCATGCTAGACTTCATGGAAGTTTCATGATTAACAAGCATTTTCACCAGCATTTGGCAGCTGTCAGAGTGTTTGCTACTAATAGAATAGAACAATGACCAAACTATCTGCTTTTATATGAGAAAATATTTGTGAATTGCTGTTTGATATTCAATGTACTGCTCATGGCCCACATTCTGTGTTCTTAAAACCTGAAATGCCCTGCGCACTGTAGCTCTTGACAGTTTATCCTACTGTTAGACTGTGAACTCAATTTTGGAACGTGTTGAACCAATCTCAATTTACCACACTTTAATATATTATATTGCATCCCAGACAGATGCTGAGCCCAGGGGAGGTACTTGACACCTTAAAGGACTGAGCTATAGACTTTGAATAACTCAACTTCTGCCTCTCCTGCCCCCACCAGAACAACATGTTTTTTTCTTGTCAGGGGACAGCAAGTGGGACAAGCTCAAAAAGAGGAAGGGATCAAACACTTGGTTAAGATGATAGACCCTTCTTCAGAGAAGAAGTCTGATCTGTTTGGGGAAGGGAAATGCAAGAGGCTGGCTATTATTACATGTCAGAAGGACTTGCAGGTGAGAGAAGGTCCATGAAAGTCTGCTTTGTGTGTAAATGCAAAGCTAACTCTTGGAGCTGGTGAGATGAGATAGGGGGAAGGCTCTTCCAGGTCTTCGGCTGTTTTCTGAAGTTATCAACAATTCCTTCCTGAGTCTGCAGTCTTTCCTTGCCAACACATTGTCTGCCAAGGGGCACTTTTACATGTGTTCTGGGGGTGGGGGATGGGACAGTGCTTTAATTAACAGCGGCTCTGAGAGCTGCTCAAATTAAAGTGCCACAACAACTTGTGTATCAGCATCCCCACACTTGAAAATGGCGGTGGGGGGGTTTGAGCTAAAGCTTGTTCAACGAGCTTCAGTTCATGCACCCTTAATGTCATTTTGAAATGCAGGGCCACTGATGCACAAAATGCAGGAGGCTGCTGAAGCATGATAATTACCACGAATAATCGAGCCTGCTCTGATGCACTGTAGTTCCAGTGCATTGGAGCAGCCTCCCTGCTCCTGTACAGGCACTGGTCCTACTGTCTCAGTGAATCTATAGTGAGGTGTGAGAGCGACTAGAGGCTGGAACATGCAGGCATTAATTTGGGGCTCATTGAAAATCATCCATATTCCAATGGAAGATAGCAGACAAGTGAACTCAGATATGCGTCTTAAGACTCCAGAGCTAGAAACAAACAATGACTGCAATACATCTAGACCCAGTCATCTTGGAGGTCCACAGGACCCAAGAGCTGCGTCCCTCTGCAGCAAACTGGTGACCATCCAGAGGGGGTTAGTGGGGTCCTGGGGGGGGGGGGCACTGGAACTACAGTGCATCAGAGCAGGCTCGATTATTCGTGGTAATTATCATGCTTCAGCAGCCTCCTGCATTTTGTGCATCAGTGGCCCTGCATTTCAAAATGACATTAAGGGTGCGTGAACTGAAGCTCGTTGAACGAGCTTTAGTTCAAGCACCCCCACCGCCATTTTCAAGTGTGGGGATGCTGATACACAAGTTGTTGTGGCACTTTAATTTGAGCAGCTCTGAGAGTCCAACTGGTGGAATGGGCAGAAGACTTATGTCCGATTCCTAGCTCTGCTGTGCACCTACCGCGTGCTTGGATAAGGTCTTGTCAATTCTGTTTACAGATGGAGAAAGTGAAGCAAAGTGAGGA